CCAAGAAACATATTGAGTTCCCCGAGCAATATCTTTTCAATTTAATGTTCCTAAATCGGCAAAAGAAAAAACGCAAAGGAAATCTCACTGATGTCTCAAATCTCTCTCCAAGACATCAATGAGATTGAATGGAGAGCAAACAAAGCAATCTACTAAAAAGATCTCACATGTCTCTTCAAGAGTTTCAGAACAGATCTTAAGTTTTATTTCTTTTCATTTCTTTGAGAAACATTTGAGATAATGTTGATACCAAGATCCCTGAGATATTAAAGAGCAACATCTGAGCAATAACATCCCCTAAATCCCCCATAGAAAATAAAAATGAGAAAGGCGATCTCTTCGAGGTCTGAAATCTTTCTCCAAGACATCGATGAGATTGAGTAGAGCGCAAATGGAGTCATCTTTTTCACAGATCTCACGTTTCTCCTCTAGAGCTTCAGAAGAGATCTCAAATTTGATTGAGACAGAAACTATGTTGATACCAAGATATACATTAAGTTTCCATGAGCTCTGGAAGAGCAACAATAATATTTTTCGGAAAAGAAAAAAAAAGAAATCTCACTGACGTCTCAAATCTTTCTTCAATGAGACTGAATGAAGAGCAAAATAAAAAACAGATCTCATGTCTCTTCTAGAGATTCAGAAGAGATCTCAATGTATTTCTGAAGAAATATTTGAGATAAAGTTGATACCAAGAAACAACACGAGTTCTTTGAGCCATGAAAGAGCGAATTCGGAGCAATAACAGTTTACTAAATCGCCAATAGAAAATAATAAATCCCAAGGGAAATCTCATTGACGTCTCGAATATTTCTCTTTCTCCAAGACAGTCGCTTGCAAATCTCATGTAGAGTTTCAAAGAAATCTCAATGCTGTCTCAATACGATCTCAAACATTTCACTCATCCAATGATTTGAGTTGCTCCGCATTAAATGTAAGGCTCTACACTCTTACTCTGACCAAGTCTAACTCCACGAGCCTCTTCTGAGCAACGTGGTCCATTCTAAACTCCCTGTCCCGAGTCAAGCAGAAGTGAAGAGTTCCCAGTGGATCGTACATGAACATCGCGTTTCTCCAGACATGCAGCAAATCTTCATACTCACCCAAAAGTACATCATCATTTCAGCCACGCAAACCCTCAACAGATATTGTATATATCTCTCTCTCTCGAGTTCAGGACAGCTGGATTCTCCTCCCGTCTCCTCCAACACTTCTCCTCCAGTCCTCGCCTCTGACTTTCCTGATGTTTGAGCGTCTAGTTTCTCAGGAAACACCTGGAGAAGCGGCGTCAGTGTGTCTGATACTCTTTTACTCCTTCCTTTGCTCTCGTCTCACAGCAGCTTTACTTTAAGACTGAGTCTGGATCAGGATCACAGTATTCTCCGGCGGGGGGAGAGAGAGAGCGAGAGAGAGAGCGAGAGAGAGAGAGAGAGAGAGAGCGAGGGGGTTTTCTCTGATGACAGTATTGATGGCGGATGTGAGTGAACAGGCTCTACCCACAATCCTCTCAAGATACGCCGCCTGAAACCCGACAAGCACCACAAACAAACAACATAAAGCAGATATAGAGAGACCGAGCCGGGGTTCTTTCACTGTATGTCATGGGAACTGCCATGTCCCGATCACATTTCTACTCATAATCAAAAGGAAAGAATAATATAGGTTTTTTTTTTTTTTTGGTTTTTTTCTAGACAATATTTTTTATTTAGCAAAAAAAGTGAAATATTTCATGTTTCCTTTTTTCAGTGTGCTTAAATTAAGTAGAAAGACTGAAATGGTGTTTTCTTGTAAAACGTAATCCAATAATCTTTAATTACAGCTTTGAAAAATTATTTTTTACAGTGCAATTATATTTATGTTTTTTTACATTATGACATTCAACCCAAATTTGTGATAAAAAATAAAAATAATTGTGTTACAATTATATATTATATTTTGCAAGAAAACATTTTATGTTTAGAACAAAAACTAATTGTATTATTATTATTATTATTATTACTGTTGTTAAATAATTGCATCGTTTTTATGACAATTAAGCACATAGTTTAATTAAAGTAATGCAACAAAAGAAAAAAAAATCGAATTCGCCTTACTGTAATGTGGACAACAACAACAACAAATATATATATATATATATATTATATGATATATTTTGCTAAAAAATTTCATTTAGCAAAATATTACAACTTCCGTTAAGTTTATTATAACAACAATAATTATTATTATTAATATTAATTATTTTCATGAAAACTTTTGAAAAACGCAATGCAAAAAAAACATTACTGTAAAGTAAAAATTGCAAAAAGTTTATTATTATTATCATTATTATTAATTATTTTTATGAAAACTTTTTACTAACGCAATGCAAAAAAAACCCATTACTGTAAAATAAAAATTGCAAAAAAAAAAAAAAATATATATATATATATATATATATATATATATATATATATATATATATATATATATATATATATATTGCAGGAAAATATTTTAAAAGCCATTACTTTTTTCAACTTCATTGTGACTATTATCATCACAAAATTTAATCCAAATATTTATAAATGTAATGCAAAAACAAAAACCTCTAATTCGCATTAACATATTTTGCAAATGTTTTACAAGAAAATATTTAATATTCATGACCATTACACACATTTAACACAAAATACTATTTACGTATGCTACTACTGTACTATGAACACAAAATGTAATTTAATTTATAAGCATTTATAAAGCATGGTTGCATTTGTTGTGTCTTTCATTACTACTGTAATAGTGCTAAAAATTAACAAAAGTATTGGAATTAATAAAAAAAAAATACTGCATTACAGTAATGAGAATCCCCTATAAGAATAACTGGGAAAAAGTAGAATTTCTGCATTACAGTAATGAGATTTCACATGGAAATGTGATAAAATGTCACAACGCACACACAAAATGGTACTGGTCTTCAAGACAGGCTTTGTTTTATTAATAATTCAGCATTTCTCTTTCAGATGTGGGGATGAAATGTGGCCTAGATGTGTTCTACAAATCCCCCCTAAAGTCAGTTCAATCCCTTTATATAAAGAGAAACGGAGTGAGTGAGAAGTCCACGAGACGCTAGTTTCATCACCGCTGCGTCAGCACATTTTAAAAACAGGTCATCAATATCTGCCTGCAGGACACACTTTAAAAACCAGCCTACAAACCACACACACACACACACGGAATCTGCTGCTGTGCCAGATAAACGCTGCACACACACACACACACAGGCTGCACTGTAACACCAGCGCACTCTTCTGCAGCCCGCCGTCTCCTTTAATTGGATTTTTATCTGTGGTCATTTTTTCCTTCTCTCTTGCATCTCTCTTAGACCTCTGAGGAAGATTTTTTTTTTTTTTAGAAATGATAATTAGACTACGAGAGGGAAAAAATACATTGAGTTCAGATCTAAACTCGCCTCACTTTATCTCTCTCTGTCTCACGGCTGATGTGAACACGCGAGGAAAATAAACGTGGTGTTGTGTGTGTCCTGATTTACACCACACGAATCCGGACAATCTGATTCTTTCACTCTAGTCTGATTCTCTGGGTTTAGTTTGATTCTCTAATCTGAATCTCTGACTCAAACTAGAGTTGAAGATTCAAACTGCTAGCATGATTATCTGACTCAGATTCTTCTTTCTTCCTGTTTGATACTCAAATTGATTCACATTTGAATCTAGTTTGATCTTCAACTGTAATTTGACTCTCCGATCACTCTGCTATTAGACTCTTTGATTTACAGAGACTGATTCTTTGACTTTGAATCTCTGACTCCAGTTTGATTTTTAGACTCTAGTCTGATTCTCTGACTCTGATTATTCTATGACCCTCGTTTGACTCTCATATTTGATTAATTGATTCTCTAAAATGATTTGATTCTCTAATTCTCTAATCTGCATATTTGACAAAAGTTTGATTCTTTGACTCAAGTCTGAATCTTCGACTCTGATCTCAGACTCTAGGTTGATTCTTCGACTCTGACTAGTTTGGTTTTTAAATTCTAATCGGATTCTGTGACTCTGTTTATTATATGACCCTTGTTGACTCTCTAATTGGATTCAGTGAGTCTATAAAATTATTAGATTTGTCAATTTTTTTTTCTAATTTGATTCTATGATTCTCTAATCTGTTTGATTATTTGACTCCAGTTTGATTCTTTGACTCAGAATCTCTGACTCTTGATTTTTAGACTCTAGTCTGATTCTCTGTCTCTGATTCTACTGACAATGTTCATTCGATGATCTTTTTTGATTCTCTAATTTGATTAGCTGATTCTTTAATCTGAATCTCAGACTCTAGTTTGATTATTTGACTCTTGTTGGATCCTTCCACTCTGAACCTCTGACTATTTTGATTCTCTAATTTGATTCACTGATTCTCTATATTGATTTGATTCTCTAATTTGATTCTTTTATTCATTAATCTCTGACTCTAGTTTGATTCTTCAACTGTGGGTCTAGTTTGATTCTCCGACTAGTCCGAATCTAACTCGTCTCTCCGACTGGTTTGATTTTCAAACTCTAGTCTGATTCTACAATAAGTGTGTGATAATAAAAGGCTCTGGTGTTGCATTAGTTGAACTCGAGCATTCGGCCAGCTCTAATGCTGATCGCATGAACACCGAGCGTTCAAGAGTCGTTTGCCTGGCGGGTAACAGGTGATCATCTCTTCAACTTTACGAATCGCACCTGTTGTTTCTCTCAGGATCAACAAACAGCATCGCACACATATATCACATCAACACACATCACTGTGTTGAACTGAATCCCGAAAGCATATTTACCCTCCACACACACACCTGCTCGGCGCTCAGTCGAACACGCCACGCCACTCGCACTGTGATTGAACGCTTGGGGAAGTGATGTCATCAAGTCAAGCACAAATCCACCTGTTCATATCAATCACGGACGCACAAACAAACCACACTGTATCAACACACACACACACACACACAGATCCGCTCTCACCTGTGTGCTGAAGAGAGGCAGTCCCAATCGCCACAGGTGATCGGTCAGGACCCTCCCGTACACCCGAGCGACACCGGTCGACTTACACACACCACCTGACCACAAAACACAAGACAAAGAGTCACACACAGGTTCTCAGCTGTTTCTCATACAACTGTCATACAAGTTATTTTCAGGCAAAAACGAGCATAAAAATCAGTCTACGGGCTTTCATAGACAACACACACTCAAAAAAATTGGGCTATTTTTTCAACCCAAATCCTGGGTTGAGCCTTTTGGGTACATTTTGTGTTATTTTTTCAGTGTTTGGGTAGTTTTTGTTTAACCCAGTTCCTAGATCAGACGTAACAACACGTTTGGGTAGTTTTTGTGTAACCCAGCTCCTGGGTCAGATATAACAAACCAGTGTTTGGGTAGTTTTTTGTAACCCAGCTCCTGGGTCAGACGTAACAACACGTTTGGGTAGTTTTTGTGTAACCCAGCTCCTGGGTCAGATATAACAAACCAGTGTTTGGGTAGTTTTTGGTAACCCAGCTCCTGGGTCAGACGTAACAAACCAGTGTTTGGGTAGTGTTTGTGTTACCCAGCTCCTAGATCAGACGTAACAACACGTTTGGGTAGTTTTTGTTTAACCCAGCTCCTAGGTCAGACGTAACAACCCAGTGTTTGGGTAGTTTTTGTTTAACCCAGCTCCTAGATCAGACGTAACAACACGTTTGGGTAGTTTTTGTTTAACCCAGCTCTTGGGTCAGATATAACAAACCAGTGTTTGGGTAGTTTTTGTGTAACCCAGCTCTTGGGTCAGATATAACAAACCAGTGTTTGGGTAGTTTTTCCGTTACTACCGCAGATCCCGGGTCAGATATAACAACCCAATGTTGGGTAGTTTTTATATAACCCAGTTCCTGGGTCAGACGTAACAACCTGATGTTTGGGTAGTTTTTGTGTAACCCAGCTCCTGGGTCAGATATAGCAAACAAGTGTTTGGGTAGTTTTTGTGTAACCCAGCTCCTGGGTCATAAATAACAACCCAGTGTTTGGGTAGTTTTTGTGTAACCCAGCTCCTGGGTCAGATATAACAAACAAGTGTTTGGGTAGTTTTTGTGTAACCCAGCTCCTGGGTCATAAATAACAACCCAGTGTTTGGGTAGTTTTTGTGTAACCCAGCTCCTGGGTCAGATATAGCAAACAAGTGTTTGGGTAGTTTTTGTGTAACCCAGCTCCTGGGTCATAAATAACAATCCAGTGTTTGGGTAGTTTTTGTGTAACCCAGCTCCTGGGTCAGATATAGCAAACAAGTGTTTGGGTATTTTTTGTGTAACCCAGCTCCTGGGTCATAAATAACAATCCAGTGTTTGGGTAGTTTTTGTGTAACCCAGCTCCTGGGTCATAAATAACAATCCAGTGTTTGGGTAGTTTTTGTGTAACCCAGCTCCTGGGTCAGATATAGCAAACAAGTGTTTGGGTAGTTTTTGTGTAACCCAGCTCCTGGGTCATAAATAACAATCCAGTGTTTGGGTAGTTTTTGTGTAACCCAGCTCCTGGGTCAGATATAGCAAACAAGTGTTTGGGTAGTTTTTGTGTAACCCAGCTCCTGGGTCATAAATAACAATCCAGTGTTTGGGTAGTTTTTGTGTAACCCAGCTCCTGGGTCAGATATAGCAAACAAGTGTTTGGGTAGTTTTTGTGTAACCCAGCTCCTGGGTCATAAATAACAATCCAGTGTTTGGGTAGTTTTTGTGTAACCCAGCTCCTGGGTCATAAATAACAATCCAGTGTTTGGGTAGTTTTTGTGTAACCCAGCTCTTGGGTCAGATATAACAAACAAGTGTTTGGGTAGTTTTTGTGTAACCCAGCTCCTGGGTCATAAATAACAATCCAGTGTTTGGGTAGTTTTTGTGTAACCCAGCTCCTGGGTCAGATATAGCAAACAAGTGTTTGGGTAGTTTTTGTGTAACCCAGCTCCTGGGTCATAAATAACAATCCAGTGTTTGGGTAGTTTTTGTGTAACCCAGCTCCTGGGTCAGATATAGCAAACAAGTGTTTGGGTAGTTTTTGTGTAACCCAGCTCCTGGGTCATAAATAACAACCCAGTGTTTGGGTAGTTTTTGTGTAACCCAGCTCCTGGGTCATAAATAACAACCCAGTGTTTGGGTAGTTTTTGTGTAACCCAGCTCCTTGGTCAGACGCAACAAACATGTGTTTTTCAGACGCAACAAACAACGTGTTGTTACGTCTGATCTAGGAGCTGGGTAACACAAACACTACCAAAACACATGTTTGTTGCGTCTGACCAAGGAGCTGGGTTACACAAAAACTACCCAAACAAACTACCCAAACGTGTTGTTACGTCTGATCTAGGAGCTGGGTAACATGGGTATCATGAACCAGCCCTTGGGTTGAAAACAACAGGTCTCGTTTTTAAGTTTCACTACAGGCTATTCAAACATTGGCATGAATACATCAAATTTCTAACAGATAGCCTAGCCCGTTTAGTTTTGTTGTAGTTCATCATCGTATGCATACTATTCCACTTTATTATTGACTTTCAATCAGATTAAAGACAGAAATGGACATAGTGAAATAGCGACGGCACATTATTATGATATTTCACTATATTAGGGAGCACTTTTGGCCTTCGACAAAAACATTAACACACACAGAGAGAGAGAGAGAGAGAAACACACACTCGTGCCGACAGCACATGCATTATTTAAGAGCAAAACGGCCATTACAGAGATGCATTCGCCAAGAGTCAGCGTGTCTATTACACCACAAACACACACGCCATCTTTATCCAGTGAGTTGTGAATGAAACTAAAAGATCACTGGAGTACGCTTTACAAGAAAATACAATTTCTACTTCAAAACTGCACGTTTAATTCAACATCTCGAATTATTTGTCGATTCACTCGCGAATCGATTACTGAGCGAAAGTAAATCCTACACCTAATTTTTTTTTTCGTTTTTAGTGTAGAGTACCACAACTTCATCATAGGCTAAACCTCATCATCATAGACTGATCTCCGTCGTTTCAGAGCATTTCTGCGCTTACTGACGATCTCTGTGTTCTGCTCGAGTCGCTGCGTTCCAGGTGGATTTTGAGGCCGTTTCAGTTGTTTTATGTGACGTGTGTGTGCAGTTTTTCGTCTCTTTCTGCAGACTCGACAGCCTCCTGCAACGACTGCATCAAATATTAACACTGCGATTAAACGCTACAGAGAGAGAGAGAGAGAGAAAGAGAGAGAGATGAGCGAGCCTGTCGATGCTTGTAGTAGCTGCCGCAGTGAGACTGTGTGTGTGTGTGTGTGGCTGGAGCTCACTAATCACTTAGGGTAATGCTGACCTCAAGAGCCACCACACACACACACACACACATATAAGTGATCATGTCTTGAAAAAGAGAAAATATCCTGTGAAAAAAGCTGACAAATACTGAATACAAGTCCATATAAATTAAAAAAATAAGAACGTTTGACATCTTGATCTTTTTACATCTTATTCGTTAGTGCGTGTTTGTGTGTGTGCGATTGAGTGTATGTGCGAGTGAGTGTGTGTGTGTGTGTACCAGAAAACGGTTCGTTTCCTCTACTGCACGCGTTATTAAAGCTGCAATGAACCCGTTCTCTCGTCCTTCACTCTCTGCTTCCTTCATTTACCACACAAAAAAAGAAGAATAAAAAGAAACAAGCGGATGAAACATTCACAAACATCAAACCGTCAGGGATACAATCTACCGTGTATCCTTTAATATTTCTCTCACTGTCTGATTTTAATCATAAAAACACTAATGAGGCCACATACATAATGCAAAACACCATGGGAGGGATACATATCTGTCATAAATAGTTATTAATTTGATCATTACCACCATAATCTACAATATTATTCATTAAATTGAATTATACTAAATAACAATGAAATAAATATAGACTATATGTGATTGTAACACCCCCCAATTCCACCAATCAGGGATAAGCTAATGACTTAGGTAATGATCAATATATATATATTTATTTATAAAACTGATTTTAATATAATTGAATGAACAGACGTGCATGTTTGTGTTTGTGATGATGAACTGACCAGGGCTTTTACACAGATGAGGCTGTTTACCAACTTCAAACTCTTAATCAATGACCCTTCCAGATTAATTGAGATGCTTTACATTGATTTTTCCTGATGCGTGTGTGTGTGTGTGTGTGGTTGGGGGTGCTGTTGCCAGGGTAATCACTAAGGTTAGGGGTTACATGCTCGGATGGGATGTCTCTATGCTTACACACACAACTTTTGTGTTTGGGTGCAGAAATTTTAATATAGATATAATTTAGACTCTAATTCCTAAACTTTTCTTTTGGTATCTTCCATTTAAGCGCCCAAATGGTTTAATCCCAGAGATTTAGGGATGCCAATGCGGAGACTGCCTATTTAAACTTCTTGCTAGTTTCAGATGCTGTAAAAATGAACACAATCCCCCAAATATCCATTAAAGTGCTTCAAATAGAGATTATAAATACACTTTCGAGAGCAAGTTAATGTGCCTCGACTCGATCATTTCCGTGAATGTTTGGCACTCAGAGAAATGTGTTGAACGCAATTGTTTTGATAGAGGGGAACAATATACATTTCTAGTTTCAATGATATTTGTTCTTTCAAAAGTGTGTGCAAAAGTGAACCACATTTGGTTTTTGACCATGTGTACAATCTATTAATTTTCTCATGGAACCGCATTAAGATTTAACCATCGAGGGCCTTTAAAACGAAGATGGGAAAAATAGTTTGTTAAGAACCACAATCTAAAAGGATATTTGTTAAAATAAAGTCAAACAGAGCTCGTTAGTAAGTAAAACAAATAATGGATATGAACCGAACATATAAAAGTGTCATCTTTAATATGCGTTTGGCATGCAAACTTGAGGCAAAAAAGTGCTTTTCCCCATTTTTGAACTCTCACCGTTGACATATAATCCAACAAAGATCGCTAAAGTCAACATATTTCACTAGCATACCTACTAATCTCCATGTAATAATAAAATAACGATGCTGCCATCTTTCTAAAGTCATTTTTACCCCCCTGTAATCTGGCTCCAAATCT